TAATTCAACAATATATGTAGGACCACAGGATCTCTACCCCTAATGTGGAGGTTTAAATGGTACAATTAATATTATCCATTCATTTTATATGACTTTCCACATACATTTTCATACTTTGTCCATAAGGCAGTTTACACTTTCAAAAACTTTAAATAATAGGGCAATGCTGTATAAGTCTATTTAGAATTGGGTCCCCTTAAATTAGGGAAGGTTAAGTCTTAGCTATCCCAGAAAGCTCTAAAAATCCAGCTTTTCCAGGGAATGATTTGTGATTGATTCTAGAGGCACAAATATAATCTTTAGTTTTATTATTCTTGCATTCTGTTTATCTTTTATATATGACTGCATTGATATAGTTGGTTTCAAAGGTGCCACAGTGGCTCAGTGGTTAAGTTGCTGGGCTCATCGGCTGGAAAGCCGGCAGCCCAGGTTTGAGACCCAAATGCCACATGATGGGGTGAGCTCCTGTCCTCGACCCAGCTCCTGCCAAACTAACAGTTCAAAAATATGCAAATGTGAGTAGATAAATAGGTAGCATTTCAGTGGGAAGGTAACAGTCCTTTGTGACATCATACTGGTAACATGACCATGGAAATGTCTTCAGACAGCGCTGGCCCAATGGCCTTGAAACAAAGATGAGCACCAACCCTTATAGGTGGCAACAATTAATGAAGTAAAATCCATAGGGACTACTTTGCCTTTATAATTGGTCACACAGTCAGCCAGATGTTTAGATTGGATTTGGTACTTTTAACCACCTATTAATTCCTTCCCAAGGGCCTGGCATAAACAAATGTTGTTGCTTGATGATATTAAGGGTATCATTGCAGAATGTAAGCAGTTCCAAATAAAGTTGCATTTTTGCAATTGTCTGATGGTGATTTTGCCAATGCCAATGGTTTTCAAATGGTGCTCCATAGGTTTTGGGATTTCACCCAAAATGCCTTTTACTATTGGTATTAACTTTTCTTGCTTTTGCCAATAGGGAGTTTCTATTTCTATTTGCAGTTCTTGGTATTTTGTGATTTTTCTCCAGTTTTTTCTCTTCCTTTATTATGATGATGATTTGTTGCACAGTCAGCCACAAATCCAGTTAGACTGGATTTGGCATTTTTATCCACCTGTTGAGTTTCACCAAGGAACTGGGATAGATAATGCTATTATTGTTGTTACAGTTGTTGTATTTTATTAAATTAATTTAGAGCAGATTGGAATGGGGTGGTGGATAGATTTCATGAATAAGCACATGCGAGAACAGTTTTGAAGCACAATTCAGATTAACACTAAAACCATCAAAATGGAAGATAAAAGACAGAACAGTCTATTCTGATTTTAAAATAAGTGTCAATTTATGCATTAAAATATTCTTCTAAAGGTTAAAGGCATTCACTGAAATTTCTTTCTAAAAAAAGCTAATACAAAATGGATAGGTGACAACTTATCTACACAGATTGGCCTCATGGAAAGTTCAATGACCCCTTTAAAGGTGCCACGAGATTTGATTCAGCACAGAATGTAAAGAGAACAGTGGAAGTACTGATCAGTAAGACATTGTAAAACAAATTGTATGGGAAAATTGTGAACATAATGTGAAGGAACTGAAACTCATTTTTATATCCACACATTATAAAATTGTCTTGCCAGAAAAAATATGACAAATAGCTGCCAGAATATGGAAGAGATTTGCCATTGCGTCCCATTCCCCCCCCCCATTTCTCAGAGTAGCCTACACTTCCTGGTTTTTCAGATTATATCCCATCCAAATTCCAATCATTTATCATAAATCAAATTCAGCTAGGTGCTGCATTCAGAAATACCAGAAGTATATTTCTTGAAAGAGCTGTTAAACAAGTTTCTAGAATGAAGTCCTTATAATAATTTTTCAGAAATAACATCCAAGAAGCTACAATATTTCACTCTAGAAAGAAAAGTGATGGGGAAAATGAAAGAATTATAAATGGAGGATACCATCAACTGGACCCGATAAAAATTAAATAAAGCAGATGCATAGATGATCCAAGCTAGCACCCAAAGAATGCATTCACACAATACACTACCTTGTTAGTGTTTGGCTTACCATGGTGTTACAAGTCAAAATCATAGTTTAAGTGATTGATAATGTACATTTTGTACATTGTTGTAATTTCATTTTAATTGTGCTCTAGTGTGTGAAGCTAGTTTATTTCCTTGCTTCTCATTAAATGCCCATTTACTCCTTTAGAAAAATCTGGGCAATGAGCACCTTAGATGCATCATGGTTGTATTTTTGCTGTTTTCAGCATATTCCAACACTGCTCTTCCCCTATCGGTACACAAGTGGTTTGCTTTCTATTTGCAACAAGAAAGTGTGTCATGATCAAAAATTTTGGAATCATGCTTTTAATTTGAAGAGTCTCCTTTTTTAAAACTTGCAGACCAATATTTAGATCATGACGTCAACCTTTTAATCTACCGGTTTAGCTCAGGAAATGTCAAAATTTAAAGATTTAAATAATTCATTGTTTTTCTAAAAAGATGTGCTATTCTAAGATCAGCGCAATAATGACTTTATCCCCCTCTCCATATTCTTGCACAACTAGGCATATGCCTGACCAGTGCTGCCAACTGGACGAAGCAGCAGGCAAAATGCAAAACTGTGGATCCTGTGATACAATAGGAATAATGCAGAGTAAATAATAGAACTTAGATGTCATTTCTGTTATTCTTATCTGCTTTCCTTGGGGCTGCTTTAGATGCAGGGGAAGCTCATCCCTTGTGGACTCTCACTCTTCTGTTGGATGTTAAATAATACACAAAGTGAGTCTGTATGTTTGTTTCAAGTCTTCCAGACGGACCTTAGTCCAGGCCTTTCTTTTAACAGTTAGGAACAGATTAGAATAGCTTCTTCCAGTCTCCCAAAACAAAACAAGATTGCAGAACGAAGGATTGTTTCACACATGCAGAGGCATTGCTGAATTCCTGGATTCTGAAAGTGTGTGGTCCGAATGTATTCAATTAGCTAAGAAAGTACTGCATTTCAGAAACTGGGAGGAATTATGAAGTCTGTTTATCTTCTCTTTTCGTTGCCCATTCCCTCATGTTCTTATGCCGATTCCACCTCTCTGCACCAGTATCTGGGCCAAATCAAACTGCACTATATATGATGCACCATTGTGAAAAGGATCTGGGCTGAAAACTGTCAAAGGAGATGGAAACTAGCCATTGTGATATTCTGGGCCAGGATCTGGAGAGGCAGAATCCTTGCTTGTTATAGTACCTATTGCCTTTTATGATACCTGATGCCCAGAGATCTTGAGATGCTCCAAATTGAGAGGTCCTTGGTGCTCTCTGAGTTTGCTTATTTTCTTACACATGTTTATTTATCCACACTAGGTAACATCATCAGTGCTAGAGTAAGGAGTGAGGTTCGCTGTCAGTTTATATTCAATTTTTTAAAAATTGATTTTCTGTTAAATGCATTTCTTAGTGCTTTATAAACATCGTGTTGTCTGGGTATTTAATTTGCTTAACAATACAAATTGCATTCTTTTTTCCAACCATTGGTAAAATAAATTCCATGTTTGATCATATTCTACATCCTCTTTCTCTTTAATTTTCAACGTCAATCTATCCATTTCTGCACAATCTAGTATCTTCTTAACTATTTCTTCATCTCGCGGTATATCTTCATTTGCCAGTATTTTCCAATATTGTCATCAGTGCTAGAGTAAAGAGTAGGGTTTGCTGTCAGTTTATATTTTAGTGGCTTGTCCTGTCAGTGTTGGCGGGAGTGGCCTTGGAGCAGTGGTGGGTTTCTACCGGTTCGCCCCGGTTCGGGCAAACCGGTAGTAGTGGCGGCGGGAGGCTTCGCCCACCTGCCTGGATGTCATCGCGGACACTCTGTGCATGCACAGAAGATTCTGTGCATGCACAGAAGCATTGTGCAATCAAAGCAAGTGCGTATGCACGCTCCCGATTCCAAACCGGTAGCGAAGGTAAGTGGAACCCACTACTGCCTTCTACTGATTCCTTTGTTGGGCTCTTTATAGTTGGTTTCTTTGGCAGTTTCTTGATTGGCGTATTGTTTACTTGACTGTTGGTTTGATATTAAATCCTGGAGTTATAATCTATGCTGTTCTGGGTGCTGATTGCTGGTGGAGAGCTGCTTGGGTCTTTTTGTTCCCCAGAGGTGGATTTCAGCAGGTTCTGACCAGTTCTGGAGAACCGGTAGCGGAAATTTTGAGTAGTTCGGAGAACCGGTAGTAAAAATTCTGAGTGGCTCCGTCCCCATCTATTCTCTGCCTCCCAAGTCCCAGCTGATCGGGAGGAAATGGGGATTTTGCAGTAACCTTCCCCTGGAGTAGGGTGGGAATGGAGATTTTACAGTGTCCTTCCCCTGGAGTGGGGTGGGAATGGAGATTTTACAATATCCTTCCCCTGCCATGCCCACCGAGCCACGCCCACAGAACCGGTAGTAAAAAAAAAAATGAAACCCGCCAATGTTGTTCCCCTTTTGGCTGGTTGATTGTTTCTTTTGCACAGCCTATGGATGTTCATGTTTATGTATCTATTGATGGCTAATTTGTCAGCGCGCCAGGTTTCTAAATTAGGTCCAAATTATCCTCAGAGCGACCAAGAGGAAAGGTGACCACACCACTGACCCAAAAACTATCCCGAGAGCGCGGTGTTTTCCACAGCCCCAACATTGCACACATCATCCCCTCAACAAACCCCCACCCACCCACCGCCATCCCCAATAATTTCTTTTTTTTTTTCTAGAAGGAAGGAAATCTACCTCATTGGGCGAACGGGCCGCGTGGTGCCCAATCAGATGGCTGTGTCTGGAAAGGCAAACTATCGCATCTGCCAGTGATGTTGCCGACATCCACGGCTCACTTCTCCCCCCCCAAAAAAACGCAACCTGTGGGAAAAAAAAAAAAAATCGCCACGCCCCCCCCCCCCCCCCCGCCAGCTGGGTGGTTCCCCCCCCCCCACACCCCCCAATTTCTCGCCCTCCCTTCCCTGACGTTCCGTAAATCTTCACCCAATAATGCTTTCAGACGAAAGCGGGAAGGGGTTAAGGGGGCTGCATCGCTCTCTCCCCCCGCCCGCTTCCCCTCGCTCTTCTGCCTCCTCCTCTTCCCTCTCCCCCTCCTCCTCCTCCTCCTCTCCTTCTTCTTCTTCTTCTTCCAGCTTTATCATCATGTAGACACCCGGACCCCCTTCCCCTTTTCTCATGGAGCAGGTTCCTTGACGTCAAATCTATGAATATTGCACGAAAAAGCCGGCTTGCGAGAGCTACCACAGCGGCTCGATGTAAGCCCGGGATCTATCCCGGCTTGGACCGCGGCGGCGGCGGCTGTGGCGGCGGCGGCGGCGGGCAAGAGGAGGCTCTGATCGCCGCAGCTTTGGAGAAGGAGGAGAACCGGCGGCTGGTGGCCGAGAGCGGGAGAGGAGGCCGGCCGTGCAGCGCTGGCGGCGGCGGCGGCGGCGGCGAGCAAGGGGGCTTGCTGCTGCTGCTGCCGCCGAGAGAGGAAGAAGTGCTGGGCTGCGCGCTCCTTCCCAGGCGAGAGGTGGCCCCGGGGGAATGTGACATCACCGCGCGGGTCTGGGGCAGCCGAGCGGGAAGGCTTCCCGGCAGCGTCCCGGCCTCCCTGGCTAACGCGCTGCCGCCGCCCGCTCCCGCGCCGGCTCCCCACCTCGGCCCCGTCATCAGCATGTCTGCGAAGGAGAGGCCCAAAAGCAAAGCCGCCGCCGCCGCCGCCACCACCACCAAGGAAAGCGTCACCCTGTTGCCTTGCTTTTATTTCGTGGAGGTGAGGCTGCCTGCGCGGCTCGATCGGAGGGGAGGGTGGGGGAGAAAGAGACAGCCAGGGGGCTCCCGATCGCGCGTGGGGATGCCGCTGCCCCGGCCCCGAAAAAGAGCAACCGTCCGTGGGAGCCCACTAGCGGGGCTGCGCGTCTGAGCCGCACGAAGCGCGCCTTAGCGCAACCGCGGCGAGGTTGAAGGGATGAGGGGGTTGTCAGGATGGGTAGGCGGCAGGTTGGAAACGGCGAGGGAGGTCTTGCCCGACGTGCCCAGCGGGGCATCGGCTCCAGACCTCGTATTTGATTCCGAAGGAAGGGAGACCACCATGTTCCCCGAAATTTGGTCCTTCGAAATCTCCCCGCGGAGCTTCGGAAGCTGGGCCGTCCTCGTCCACCTGCCTTGGAAACTCCACCTCCCTCTTTTGTTACGGGAAGGGAGGAGGGAGCGTTTATTTATATTTTTTTAAATAAATAAATAAATAAATAAATGAAAAAAAAAGAGAGGGGGGGGGGGGTGCAAGGGGGGGGGGGGGGCCCGCGCGATGAGATCAGATCACGTGCACGCGGTACCATTCCCAATGTGGCTTCAGACGAAAAGAGGGAGGGTTGTGTTGTGCTTATACCAAGCATATATACTTAAGACAAAAAAAGAAAGAAAGAAAAGAAAAAAGGAAAGGGATGTTAAATAAGTTGGAGGTGGCATAATTGAAAGTAAATGTATGTAAGATCATTAAACGATCAGAGCTGTGGGGGGGTCTTTTTTGACTTAGGCTTGGGAATATTTGGGGATGCTTCAGACATTTGGGATGTGCTGAGAGTGTGGTTGCGATTTCTGTAGGTTGTCAAAGCTACACCGCGTAGCTTCATCATAGCAAGCCAACCAAGTGAGGTGCTATTTTATTTATTTATTTAGCCAAAGATCTACTGGTGCTTGTGTGTGTGCATATGTGTCGGGGTGTGTGTGTGTGAGAGAGAGAGAGAGATACCTTATTTCTGCTGCACAGGCATTCTCTTCTGCTCTTCTGGTGATGTAATGTACAGGCCCTTGCAGCGCAGGCAGACTAGGAATTCAGATTTTCCTGTTTATTGAAACAGCTCAGCAAAAGAGCAGAGGTGATCAGGATTGACACATGGAAGCCACTCAACCCGCGCCTTGCTTTTCAAAGTAACTCACATAGCAACTTAGGAAAAAGTTGCCCACAAGCATTGACTGTGTGCTGTCCCTGTGTGAGTCCCATCAATAGTGCAGGTTTGGGGATGATATTCTTGGAAGTAGATCTTTTCAGTGGTAGTCAATAGCTGTTTCACACAGACAAGAAGAAATCTAATAAACTTTCAAACAAGGAATAAGGCATGGAGGCTGATCAAGGAGAGATTCAACCTAGAAATTAGGAGAAATTTTCTGACAGAACAATCAACCAATGGAACAGCTTGCCTTCGGAAGTTGTGGGAGTTTCATCACTGGAGGCTTTCAAGAAGAGACTGAACTGCCATCTGTCAAAAATGGTGTAGGGTCTCCGGCATGGGTAGGGGGTTGGACTAAATGACCGACAAGGTTCCTTCCAACTCTGTTACTCTGTTACAGTTTGACCAATACAGTGCCCATTTACCTGAATCAGAGAATGATTTGTATATTTGTGAGTTTCAAACAAGGACTGTACCATGGTAATAGCAGTGCTGAAGAAGGAAGGATAAGAGGTATGGAAGGTGATGCAGATGAAAAGGGTATTTTGAAAATGAATCTAAATAGCTGTGTGACTTTTTATGAATGTTCTGAAAAGTCACAAAGAGTACTCTGCTTGTAAGTGCAGATGTATGTTTGTCTGAGTATATCTATCTTTTCATCCATGCATCCAGATAGAAATTTCCAAGATTCCTGATGTTTTCAAAGGAGAAATTGAGAGGAATGTATTTTCATTCCTTCTCCTCAATCTCTCATTGATTTCTTAACAAAACAATAAATAGAAACTGAATAATTAAGAATCATCCTGTACACTGCACTCATCTGAAGTCTGTTTTTACTTTCTTGAGAAGAACGTAGTTCTACATTATGTCTATCATGCACTACCAAAGCTGAGGGGAACATCTGGAAACAGCTATTTGAAAGGAACTTTAAGGAAGGGTCTCTGGAAAGGTTGCTGCTTTGTGAATTTCTAGATCTGGAGCTCCAGTTTAATGGTCAGAATCTCATATTATAACTTAAAATGGCAGTGTTGAGGGATTTCAACCTGTCAGGTGCATTCAGAGAAGAAAACGCTCAAATAAGCAGAGCTTAGATAAGTGTAGTTCTTTATTGGTTTCAGGATATTTTTTAAGACTTGATGCAACATGAATGTAAAAATCAAGGGCTCTTGGTTCTGACACTTAACGTGGAACTAAGTGATATGATGGACATATGGGAATTCAACAATGTGTAAAAGTGCCTATAATAATTATGTGCTCTCCTAAACAGCAGCAGAGAAGTTCACAGCACTGGAAAGTCATTTTCTGTATTTTGCTTCTTTAGGGAAGAAAATAGGAAGATGTGAGTTGGCTTGTTTAACATTGTCTTTCAAAATACTGTGCATTGAGGGATGTGGCACTCCAGCTGAACTGAAATTTGTCTGAAATGCCTTTTGACTTCATTGAACACACATTGTAATGCACTACATTGGATACATGGAAAACAGATATTAATATTTCACTCTATTGCACAATATAAAGAGAAAAAGAAACACATTTGCTGGCTGTTATTTCATAAAAGGCAACTAGCTCAACAAGGCAGCCAACTAAGAAATTTTGGAGATTGGAAAGTTGCAAAAGAAATATTTTTAAAAAGTGCGCTGTAGCTAGCACAGTGCACAATTAAGAGTGAAAAGAACACAGGAATCCTCAAAGTAATATATGCAGAGAAGGCAACATTTTTTTCTGTTTATAATTTTTTATAATAAATTTTACAAAGGACATAAAAACTAACACAAACTAATAAATAGTAAGTTAAAGAAGGGGAAAAAGACAAAAGAATGGAAAAAAAGAATGAAAAGAAAGAAGCTTCCAATTTCCTTTGTGGCAAACATATTATTAAATATAATAAGTAGAAATACAAAACTGTCTCCTACTCTAGATTATAAAAAGTTCACTTTTTCTATTATCCAATTATAAGTTCCTGTTTTTCTATCATGAAAAAAGTCTATAAGAGGTTCCCAGTCAGCCGTAAATGTAGATATTTGGTTTTTCTCTGATCAAATAAGTTAATTTAGCCATCTGCAAATTCCATCATCTTCACCAACCATTCCTTCATTGCAGGCAAGTTTTGAGCGTAAAATAGTCTCATTGCAATTGTCATATAGAAAGACCAAGTTTCATGATTTTTTTCTAGTTACCTGTCCATTAGACCCAAAAGAAAACATTCTGGTTTCATTTGTTCTTTAACCTTAAAAACCTTATCTAATTGATGTATGTATTTGTATCCATTTTTTGCCATTTTTGCATGCTAAAATGTCCATGTTGTTCATATTTTCAGCAAGGATTCAAAATACCTTTACACATTCTACACAATTTCTCTGGTGACAAATACCAATGATACATCATTAGAAGACAACATTTTTGTCATGTGGAAACAAACCACCCAACCTGCAAGTCCTTCATGTTTAATACATCACATGTACAGTGCTTCCCCGAAAATAAGACCCTGTCTTATATTTTTTTGAATCCTGAAATAAGTGCTTGGCCTTATTTATGGGGATATCTTATTATTTTGGGCGCTTGGAGCAAGACAGGGCTTCTCTTGCCATCTTACCTGATTTCCAGCTCTGTCTCCCTAACCTAACCAGAGGAAATGGCGGGGACCGGTTGCGCATGCATTTAAATATTTTCAGGGAGGGCTTATTTTCGGAGAGGGGGGGCTTATATTAGCGCACGCGCTCAAAAGCCCAATTGTGCTTATTATTAGGGGATGTCTTATTTTAGGGGAAACGGTATTGTTTGTAATCTTTAAGGGACTCAAACATTGGGGGGGGGGGCATTTTTCACAAGGATTTTGTTATTTGGATTTTGGTAAAACTAAATTTTGATTCCAGACATATATCACTCCTGATTTTTTTTAAAAAAAAAAACAAACCCTACTAGTTGTGAGGAAAAGAAGTCAACTACAGTTTATTTATTTAATCTATTTATATTAGCGGCCCATCTCAACAATAACTCAATGACTAAAGTTCTCTACTATTTGGAAAAAAAAGTCTTCATGGGTCTTTCCTATTCACAGCCACTGTAAATTCAAAATCCTTACAAGTCATCCCCAAAGATGGAGTAAAGCTAACTTTTTCATCATACTTTTTGATTATCTTGTTTGTAAACCACCTAGAGTAACTTAGGTTTGTAAACAACCTAGAGGGACGGTGTAGAAATTTGATAGACAGATAAATAAAATAAGCTACTCAATTCTACATTGTCCTGAACGCATGGAGAAATTCTGAACATCCTTAGACTTCATTCTAGAACAGTGCTGTGAATATGATATCTGTAGGAATCAATGGAATTCTAGGAATTCTTTCTTAGCAACCATCTGTTTCATGTCCAACTGGCATTTTGTTGCTTTTCTTAAGGATTCCTTTATTTGTTTGTTTGTTTTTTAGATTTCCTTAATTAAAATGAAATGGACAGTTTCCATATTGGAAAACAAAACATTAGTCTCTAGTACCATTTTTTAATCTCCGGAGCTTGCAACATCCTTAGAACACTAAATGGTGCATGGTTATAACCTACAGGTCTTTGTTTGGAGGTATACCCACCAGCTTAGAAGAAAAGAGACAAAGGTGTTATGAATCAAAAAATATTATCCTAGTGCAGGCCATTAATTTTTCCAAGGGGCCAGATGAGAAAATGGGACTGTTGTGGAGGGCCAAACCAATCGTACTGTGAAAGTGTGTAATCATGCACAGGCTCACATACTTAAACTGAAAAATAAAATAGTAGTCACCTTCAGAATAAAAGCAATGCAATTGTATTGCATGTGTGATATATACTTATT